AGCTATGATCAGCTAAGCCTGTGAAGATTTAAACGTAAATACCAAGTAACTTCCTATCTCGCTTGGTTTCCTTATTGCAAACAACTATCATAACATGAAGAAAAATAATAAGGTACTTCTAATAAAAAAAAAAAGATACTTTGGTTCTATTAGTTCTTCCAGGGGCTGGACAGGTAGCAGACAGCTGCCTAACTTAAGCACTTCTTTGCCCAAAATATTTATGAACAAATGTAACCTACAGGCAATGCCACCAGTGATGTCATCTTTTACTTCCATTAATTTTAGAAGTGATTAATTATGATACTGATGAGGCCTAAGTATCTGCCTGAAAAGGACAAGTTGGATTTCAAAAGGCCAATCTCTGGTGTTAGCAAGTTGATAAGAGTTTTTGCCACTGATTTCCCCAAGTCAGGATTTCTCTCAGGTGTGGTGTGGGTTTTTTTGTTTTGTTTTGTTTGTTTTTTTTTTCCTCATAAAGCTGTGCTCATTATACTTCATGCACTTACAAAGCATGATTGTATTTTCCCGAATGAGTGGCATACAATAATTTTTTTCTCAGGAAAGGTGTTTTTTCTGGCTGCTTCAAAACCAGTGAGAGCCTGAACTGGCCCAAAATTCTCTGGCAGCTTGTACACAGACAACCTTCCTTTACTGATAGATGTTTGTTTCTGGTTCTTCTGTGTTTTGTCTAGAGACAAAAGAGGGTAATTAGAGGAAGATTTAACTTCAGGATGGTATTAATAGAAGTCCAGCACAAGAAAGCGACTGGCCAGACAATGTCACCGGGTCTGATGATAATGCAGAGCAAGGAACTACTGGTTGATAAAATCAACTGGATTGCTACATATGTTTTATCACTTCTGATGTCTCCAAACACTATAGGGAAGTAAGCAAATATTAGTAACTATTAATTTATTTTAAGAATTCGTTGATGTGGTACTGCGAGTAAAGAGAATTCCTGAAGGATTTATTATGAGTTTCCTAAGAGACTCAACAGTTACAGTACACTTATTTCACCCAGAAAGCTTTCTCCCAGATCAGAATCTGAACCCCAGAATCTTTATGTGACACAAAGATAGGAAGAATTATGGATTAAAGGAAGAGCTGGATATTTTACAAGTGTTCTGAAAAAGGGGAGAGAGTAATTGAAAAATTAACATGCAAAAATTCAGTTTCAGTCAAGTTAAAGGCAGAATCAGAATGCTGAAACTAATAGAAGATGAAAACAGAAGCAGAAGCCAAGTGTTCAGTGAAAACAAAGCCACCAAACCTACAGAAAGCTTACCAGGACATATTTATTATATTATTTTTTTCTTCAGATGTGCAGTTTTAAATTTGCATACACGTGTGCACACACAGATCCATACCTTCCAGACCTTATCATGGTTTTTTTTTTTTCCCCTTTCTTTTTTTTTTTTTCTTTTTAGGTCATTACAGAGGCTCACTTACCAGAAGTAAACGCTTTGCAGAGAAGAGCAAAATAAGAGGAACTACAGCAAAAAATGGTATTTCATAATGAATTGTATTTTTTGGATAGCTAGAAAGGTGAAAAATACTGAAAGGCGCTAAAACGACAGGAGGGATGGGTAAGATGAACATAGGTGGATGAAGAAATACCGATGGAAAGTCACTGGTGGGAACCACAGCGAAGAAAAACGGACTAAGAAATAGGCTGTAAGCAACACAGATCTGAAACAGATAACTGGACAAATACGGAGCCCCAAAGGAAGAAAAGTCTATGGGAGCCAAGAAACCAAAGAGACAGGGCTGGTCGGGGAAGGAGAAGACTCTCCTGATGGTGACAAGAATCCAAAAGCCTATCAGTTCAGTAGAAGTGGTTGCTGTTAGCATGCTTAGGAAAAAGATGGGCTTAGCTCCGGAAAGATGTTTCTGAATCCTCCCACCTCTCCACCCTTAAGAAATCTACATTCATTTATAATACAGTGAACTTAACGCTTGGCAAAAAATGGGCAACACTTGGAAATCATTCTAGCTGGCTAGGATAATAAGCCATACTGAAATGATTACACAGTCACAGAGCTTACTCTGCTTTGGTTCCACTTTTGCCTCTTTTTACAAATAAGATTATACAATTTTCGTAAGGGTAACAAGTTGTTTCCCGGACTGCAATTAAAATGGCCATGCCCTAGCATTACTAAACAGCTATTTCAAGAAGAATTTCTGCCTACTCCCCCCTTTTTTTGGGGAGGGGGAACAAAACATTTTGGCCGACGTTAACTGAAATTATGTTTAGTACTTGCATTCCCCTTTGCTTTTCCCCTACAATGGATCTGATGGCTAGAAAACATCGCTTTATTCTGGGTTCCTGAGATTACATGGGCATCTCCTTCTCTTCTCCCTGTGAGGAAAGTTCTCATTGCTCCTGCATTACTCCCTTGTCTAAAAGCAGTGCTCGTTGTACTGAATACAACATCAATAACAAGACTTTTTTCTCATTTTATTAAAATAATGCTCCACAAAAGGGCACCATTATGCTACACTCCATAAAAAATAAGAAATAAAAACCATCGCCCAAACCCAACCAAACAAAACTACTCACACATAGTAGAAGAATTCCTGACTATTCTCAATACCCAGAACAAACAATAGCAAAGAAGCTAGAAATACGGAGACTTGAAATATGTTTGAAGACACACATCAAGAGTCTTCTCTGTTCAAATGACCTCATCCTGAGTTTTGTAATATTACTAGATTATGTTTTGGTTTGCCAACTACTACAGTAAACTGTTGGCAAGTCCACTATTAGCAAGGAAACAAAATATAAAATCTTTTTGGTCAAACGAAAAACTCATAAACGATGGAGGACAAATTTGATTAACACAGTTTTACAAGGAGCAAAAGACTGAGACTGCTCCTTCTCTGACACTACTATTAATGCACGTAAGTACTTAGAATTCTACGTTTCAGAAGCAGCTGCCTTTTCAGTTCATATGACTAAAGCTCTATCAAGTCACATGATGCTCAACTTGCAAAATCACTGAATTGCAATTGTCTCTATCGAACTGCTCAACGTGATAACGTTCATTTAAGTCCATTTTGGTCTCCCTTGTTCCAAGTCAGATTTCAGGTGTCTTTCTGCTTATTTCTGCAGGGTTTCTTCTCCTAGTGCCGAAACAAAGGGCACAGCTACACTACACAGTGAACCTCAGCTCGCATATCCACAGGGTGAAGTGCAGCGAGGAGGTATTTGCAGAGATCCTTAACAGTACAGTCCACTACATCCTCTTGGGCTCAGCACTGAAGTGACGTTGCTGCATCGCTCCCAGCAGCAGATGCAGCAGCGGCTGTGGCTATCGGGGATTCCTAGTGCAGCGCTCCACTGCTCCCTGTACAGATGCCTTTAGAAATGAGAGTCCGTCCTCTGTGATGCTGAGGATGGTTTTTATGAAGGGAAATGGAGAGACTTATCTGCATTTCCTTTTGGCGTCTTAAAAATAATTCTCCGTGCTCCTGTCTATTCTGAAGTAAAACATATTCTCAGATCTCCGAGTGCTGAAGAACTTTGTTAATAATGAAATGTAAAGCCAGAACAACACAGCTTTTACTAAATTCCCTAGATAATATCGTATCAGTAGCTGTTTGGTTGGAGTTTCTCTTTTTGGTGTTTCTTCCTTTTTTTAAATACCTTAAAATATATAAAAACTTCACATGTATAACCACAATTTCCTTCCCCTTCACCAAATTTCACAGGACTATTTCTAGCATACAGGACGGAAAGAGTAACAAACGGAATACAAGATACAGTTAAGGTTAGTCTTCCTTTACCCTACTCCTTTTTCTACAGACAAATACCTGCTACAACTTTTCAGTTTCAACTTTAATAACTGGCAATCACCTACTTGTAGAAACTGGGCTAGACCATCTAAGTTCACTATGACCAGCGGCTTATTACCAGTGGCAGAAAAACAACTGACAGACTAAAACGATGGAGCATCCTTGTATTAACCTGTAACATAGACTCCCTCCACAAACCATTAACAACGCTTAAATTCAACACAAGTAGCGACTAAAAACTCATGATACTCCCTACAGCCTGCAGTCTTGAGCACAAAGCCTTCTCAACACTGTTCAGCTTCTGACAAGTGAGAGGAGACCAGCACGTGCAATCCAAGCTCAGCCTCCACCCACTTGGGAATGTCAGCCTCCTCTCTTACAGCTTTAAACTACTGCAACCATATTCCCATGTGGTCTACATAAAATGTTGCTGCAAAAATAGCTCCTTTGAAGTCCTCTACTACTTCTCCCTGTAAATCTACACTGAGCACAGACTCCTGTCTTCATATTTAAGGACTTCACAACTTCACCTCCTTTAGTGAGCATCTCTTACCTCTAGGCAAAGAGCCACACACATGTGCCTGGCAAAGAGATGACAGTCCTTCACCAAGGCCTTTATCTCATGTTTTAGTTCATCTGCTTGTCTCTTTAAGCTCCTAACCCTCCAGAACAGAATTTTCCAATTGTTAGAACAGTATTCTGTCCAGGAGAATGAGATCCCTCCGGTAACTGAGGCATTTTGGTACTACCATAACAAATATTTACAAAAGCAAGAACAGAGATTTATTTTCTGTTTCCTAAGTAGCAGTAGGAAGCATTAAGTTATCCTGGCTATTGCTTCGGTATAATCTGCTTTAGTTAGCTAGAAATACAGGTCAGTAACTTATACTATATTTTGGCAGGTGTTCTAAAAATAGCAGCTACTCCATCACAGTACACAGTTTTACTTTTGCTCAATAGAGACTTACAAAAAGAGAAAAAGGGCCAATAGATATTTACAACAGACAGGGCTTTCCTATTAGACTACTTCAAAGTGTTAATATATGACTTTTTTTTTTTTTTTTAAATCTGCCTAAATGGAGATAGGTCTCATACTATCCAATTAAAAAAATAAAAATTTCTTCTCTATCAAGGTCCCGCGTAATTAAATTACTTTCTGAGAGAGAAATAATAACCAGATAGTATCAATACTATATTCTCATTACCTGTTTCCACAGTGTTTTCTGTTTCTGCTGCCTCCAAACCATCCATACTGTCTTCATCCTCCACTGCAGTTTTTCCTCTACTCCGAGGCCTACAAACAAAAAAAGGGAACATTGTTTAAAAAATTGTTAAAGTACATCCATTTTAAATTTATCCAGGATTAAAATCATTTCATATAGAGGAATAATTAATAACATTTAAGTTAACCAGTGATTTATGAGTCCTGTAAAACTCAAATGTTTTCTACCCTTTTTTCCTGCTTAAGTAATAATCTCAACAGGGTACCCTTTAATCAGCAGTTGACCCTGTAAGTCCTGTGATTATTATTATAAGAAAAATTCAATCACACCCTTCTACTGATCAAAAAATACATTAAAGCAGCAAGATTTTAAGATACGACTGTCCTGTTTGCTCCACATTTTTCATTACCTAGGCGATAACAACATACAGAGGTATTAGTGAGAATACAATCCAAAATCAGACCAGTAGTTACAAGCGCCACCAAATAGACACTAAGCCATTCAGAGCATCCTTGGAGGAAATTTCTAGAGGATGCTAATAACGCTGAAGCAATTGAATTGAAACACATGTAGTATTTTTTGTGAAATAATCATTTTGATACGTTTAAAAAACGCTATAAATTACTAGAGATGGCTAGGTGTTAACACACTGAACAAATTCATAAAGGTATAAACAGCGCATTAAAACCAAAATACCTCGCAGTCGTTTCAATTTCAACCAAGGTCTGACAGAAAGCAGACAGGTTTGTGCCACAAATTTCAACCTTTTCTCTCTGCCCGGCTCTACAGCAACCGGTGGGGTGGGCTGCTGAGGAGCCCGAGCATCCAGATTCCCAGCTGTTCAGCAGCCCATTTGATAGGGAGCCAAGAGCTTGGCACCTTGCCTCCCAAATTTTCAGGCTACTTGGCAACCTGCCTGGCACGCTGACAGAAAGCCAGAGAGACCCTGGGAGCTTCTCATTCCAAATACACAAATTCTTAGCAGTTTGGGGCATCTCAGTGGTTGCAGAGTCCCCGAGCTCCCAGGCAACCATTCACCCAACCAACATGCCCTGAATCAGGATGTGACACAGGCAACCACAGCGGCCCCCAGCTTGCCCTCCCGAAGAGGAAACCACTCCGTTTCCTCTTTCACAGAGGATTCTGAAAGGTTTGGGCTTAGTCCCATGGTGGGGAAAATTTTTTTGAAGTGATTAAATCATTTGAAAACAGCATTTCCTTTTTTTGGACAGTCTGTTGAAATACTTGCATCGAGCAAAGCGTTACCTCAGAAGGAGAGCTGCTAAATCAGCTAAGGAATATACTCTGCCATGCTCTGCCTTTGACACTCACGGATCAAAGATGATGATGTGCGAAAAACTTGAAGGGACTATAAACTTTGGAGTCTATACTTTGTTATTCTCCTGCTAAGTGCAAGGGACTGTTTTGAAATACCTAACAAAAAGATCCTTTCTAATCAAGCTGGGAGCAGTTTGTCTCTGTAGAGGAGGAAAACAACGATTAACAAACGGTGAAAACTAAAGCCTGAAACAAACCACTCAATTTACAAAGGAAGAAATGAGGGAAAAGAGGAAACCAAGAGAGAGAGAGAAGGAGAGAAGGACTTTTATCTTTTTGGCATCCCTATGAATTGGTCCAGGACAGTGCCGAAGAACGTGGGAGCAACGGCAACCCTAGGCATACGAAGTTATCTTTGGCCTTGCCTGCTTATCCACAAGGACAGATATCATATACGTAACTCACAAAATAATGGCATTATAAGAACAGAGCGGAGCCTCCATCCACTTCACTATTTGCCACTCTACAAGCTTCCAGTGTACTTCTCTAAAGTAGAAGTCGCACAAATATTTTAAGCAGAATAAACTGCAGAGCTACCCAACGAAACCGTGCCACGTTCCCTTCGGCCGCTGCGCCACTGATGCAGGAACGCTCAAAGGCTTTACAAAACACGACCGGCTAACAACGGGGATTACTGCTAAAACCTATCTCCAACTAATTTTCTACTAACTATCCAAAAATAATCTAGTTTTAAACATTTACATACAGTTTTGGATTGTAACTATATTTAATATGCTAAAACACTGAAGTACCTCACAAAGCACATTTAAACTTTTTTTTTTTTTTTAAACCACAAGCAGTACTCACTCTTTGAAATCCCTCCTACATTTTAGCAACTTATTTAATATTAAGGAAAATCACAGGTTTGAACTAATTAAACATAACTGCTCCTTTTCGGCAGAAGATATAACCACATCTGGTGTTTTCTTACCATCCCCCCTCTACTGTGTCGTCATTGTTCTCCCCCTGCAAATATTCTACAAAAAGCCTTCATAATGCTGTGCAGGATTCACATAAATCCATTAGAATAAAAAGTGGAACAAAGCTGGATTATATCTTTAATTGATTTTTGTTCATTACTTTCACTTCACAATCATCAGAAGAGATTTTATATTCAAACAAATGCGTCTGGCTTCAAGAAAAAATAATTCAAGTTACAAAACACTAAAATATACGCTGTACTGGCAATTACAATTTAGTATTTCCACAGAAAATCCTATTTGAAAAGGCCATATAGTATATCTCATGGTGACAACGATGATAATAAGAATGTTTTCTTTAATATTACTTTTAATAAATTTAATACATTTTATTTAATAGTATTGTTGCATAACGGTACTGTCTGGTTTGCATAACACTAAATTTTCCTCCGACAAATCCCGTAACTTGGTTGTTTTTCAATTTCTTATTCCACTCCCCTTTAAGTAAAGTGGGAAAAAGTAACCAATTTTGTTCTGCTCTTGGGATTTGACTCTTTCTCCTAAACTACTAACGTACCTCAAACCTAAACCTTTTCTCACGGAGAAGTCTTCTGGGGGTTTAATCTTTAGGATGGTGAACAGGTCATAAAACAGGTTAGTTGATACATGCGGAAAAGAGCAATATATCTAATCAGTCAGTATCTTCCAACAAAGCCCAATAGTTCTCAACACTGGATTTGAGGTACGCAGCCCGGTATGTCTTAAATCAGCAAGGATGCCTATTTCCGAAAGAGAACGACATTGGTCAGTAAGGTATTTCCCACTCTTTGCAATACTCCTGCTCTTCTTGGAATAGTACATACGCGTTTTCAAGTATTGCGTTCAGCTTTCAAGCAAAAGGCTCATCGCAAATACCATCATAAAGGAGCTAGAAATAGGCCCAATTTAGACAGCTTGCGTCTCAGTTTTACCCAAACTTTGCATTTTTGTAAGTATTACTTTTTCTCAAACAGGGAGTTACAAATATTTCTGCTGTAAACTTAATAGGAAAGCAAAAGGAAAGCACACAGTTCCACGTTCTTCCACAACAACTTAGTACTGCTGCTGACACAGGCAGTCCAGCCGCTCCCCCCATCCCATCGCTCGCTCCTGTGCCCAGAGCGACCTTTCCTCTGCCGGCAGCCGTACACTGACCCAGGCCGAGAAACCTTTTTTGGGGGTTGGCTTTAACCTGGATCAGGTTCTGAAGCATGCGGCCAGCATGAGCATCTCTACTGACCCAAGGAAAGGGGGCAGATGGGAAAAGGTCGCTGGGGCAAGGAGCAGGCGGGCCTGCTTCTTGGCAGCAGCGCCCCAGCGTTTGCTGCCTTAAAACAATTACGGCACTAAAGCACGCATGCGCCTATTTATCCTTCGCTCCTACACCGCCAGGCAGTACCAAGCAACAACTACCAAGCTGAGCATTATAACCTCAGTTCTGCTATAGACCTTTTTAAGCCCTCTCCTGAACTTTCTTACTTGAGGTAGATAAATATGTCTTATATGTATCACTGTAGACTCTAAAAGCCCATTAGCTAGCTACTGCACAAGTAGGGCACCCACAGACGAGCCGCGTTCCACACTGCCTCCAAATCAAGAACAAAACGTACAGGCATAGCCTGAGCAATAAGGATGACAAGAAAGCAACAATAAATATTAGTCAGGACAATAGGCAGCGGGCTCCACACGCAGGCTGAGCGGCTGCCAAGTTTTCTGCAATTGGCTTTCTCACTTGTTTTTTTCCTACAACAGAGTTCGATTTAGAAGGAAAAAACAAAATCATGCCTATTTATGTTTAAAAGAACAGATCTATTGAAAAAAATGTAATTTCTTAAACAAAAAGCGTTTAAAGCGCATTCCACATTGCATGAAACAGTCAATAATGTATTAAGTTGTATCTAAGTAGGATTCCGTTGAACATTAACTATCGTCTGCAATAATTTACTCATATTTACATAAAACTGAGTCATTTATCAAAATGCTTTGTGACCTACTCCTAAATTTGTCATCAATTAGATTTCTTAGCGAACTCCTTTTATTTTCTGTCTTTAAATATGCTGTAGTAAACAAAGATTGCATAATTTTACTGCGTGTAAGCAACTAATCAAATTTAGCACACAGGAAAAAAAACCCACACTTTTTTAGAGCTCAGTAAATCATTAGGTAATCCATTGGCACTGGGGGAAAACCTCTGAGTTTGTTTCAGAGCTTTGCTGACTTCATTAACAGAGTCAGATTGCCAAATATCGTAAGCAGCTTCTGCTAAACCGCACAGATAACAGCATGGATGAAGACCCCAGGATAAAAAGGGAAAAACGCCCTATTTGCCTGCTCACAGTCAGATTTTTGTTTTGTTTTGTTTTGATGCATACATGGCGGCAACAGCGCCTTAACCTTATGAGTACAATATAGGTCAAAAGTATATCTTGTATCTTACTCATTCTTTCCACAAGGTCGTCATTAATAAGGCTATGGGCCGATAACTTCTGGAACCACATGGAACAGCTGAAGACGCCTTAAGATCTTCATCGCTGCCAGGCTGCTGGTTTATGATTACCCAGAAGTTATGGTCAGATAACAGTTCCTACAAGTTCTCTGTAATTTGCTACCAGTAAAATCAGATGACAGTTTGTTCAAACCACCCACTGAAAATACCTCGCTAATCCAGTTGCTTTTGTTTCAGGCTTATGAGAACACATCCATAAGAACCGTTGCACAGCTCCACTCTCCTTCTCAAAGGCCATAACCTCTAAATTGTTCAGGGCAGAAATAAT